CTTTGAAAATGGTCACCTTCTCCACATTACTCTGGAAAGAATAAACTTTCATTAAGAAGGATAAAGACATAAACAACACTAACAATGTTTCATCTCAAACACACACACTTCCCAAATACTCTCCACTCAACAAAACCCCGAAGACAACCTGCAACCAGTTTCAGGTTCATAATTTTCTGCAGCCAGTTGTCCTATAGCAGAGAAGCTTTGGGTGAAATTTATTTCTCTATTGCTAATTATAAGTTGTCCAGAATTGAAGCACATCTCTGCGTCCAGGAGCCCCACTCCTCCACGTTGACCTTTTAGTGCCTGAATGCCGCTGCTGCAGACTAAATGAGCTGCTGAATGTGACAAAGCAAACCCGTTTCCATCAGCCAGACGGAGGGACAAGGCGACAGACGTCGGAGTCGGTGAGGCGAGAGCAGTCCTCGTGTTAATGAACAGCTCTGCTGGACGCCTGACACTGATTGCTGACACCTCCTCCTGCCAAGCCAGTAATGGCTGCCTCGGCCTCCAGGGCCCTCAAGTGACAAATCCCAGCCTTTGGCAGGCCAGCCCATCGGAAACTCGCTCCGGACGAGAGCTTGGCGCTGAATTACGCAGCTGGGAACTGTTGAACGTACCAACTGTACGTACAGTCTCATCTAAATGTGTGATTATGGCACAAAAACAGCTGAAAAGCTGCATGACCTGAAGAGCCTGCAGCGGATGACTACATGGTTTATTCCTCTCTATATCTGCTAACACACCTTCTGTTTTGAGGTGACTCAACACTAAATGTACTTTAAATGCTTTGCCAAAGATAAAGTACTGGGTTTGGTGGATTGTTTTCTGAGCTTCTGCAGCAAAGACACAGTGGTTCTGACAACACAAGGTACCAATACATGCAACTTTACAGGATTCTGCTGCGTCATGCAGTGAGCCAGGTGGATTTATGGCAAGATGATGTGAGAACAAAATGAGAAAACCTTCATCAGGATGAACCTGTTTTGGTTCCTTGGGCCAAAGATTGAGGGTCATTTAGGGCTGTGGGGTCAGAAGGGCGATCATGCAGGAGGGACTCCGAGTTGCTTCGCCACAAAGAGGATCTGTTTGGGTTTTATCAGGCACCCAGTCAGGACGCCTCCTCAAACGTCTCCCTGATGAGGAGGAGACCCACAGGAAACGCCGGAGGAACTGCGTCTCCCTGCTGGCCTGGGAACGCTGGGATGGGTGTTTATTAGCTGTTAGCAGAATGAAAACACCTAAAACATGAGAAACTCATCCATCTATAGCGCTCTCTTCGCTCTCTTCATGCTCTCTTCTTTTTGTGTGAAAAACAGATTTTTGGCTGATTTTCCTTCCTGACCTCCTTCTTGTGTCATTAATGCTTGAGGTAGCTTGACATTTATTCTAATTTTCACTGTGCAGCTGGTCGGGGAGTTGCTCTCTCTCCCTGCAGGCAACAATAAGTTGCTGCTTAGAAACCGGGTCAACCCGTCTGATTTCGTCTCTTCTGTAAACACAGACAGTTGTGAAACAGCGAGATCCTTTCACCCAGTGACGTTTCATCATTACGCCTTTGGTTCGGTTAATAACTTCAGAGTTGGGCAGACGAACTCGGCTGATTGATGGATGAGCTGCGAGTTGGAGGAACGCGCTGCTGATGAGCGACGGACGTCCTTTAGGATGATTGATCAGGCTGATCGTCCTCAGGAACAGAGGTGAAACTCTGTTTCTGGAGTCTGCTGGTTAAATCTGCATCCATTTCTCTGAAGTAATAATTCAGAAACGGCAGTGACAGTCCTGCCCGTCTTTGAGACGGACTTTGAGACAACTCCACTTGTTAAACCACTAAATGCACGTTGGGGTCGGCCTGTGGGGTCCTGCAGAGGAAACAGTGTTGGTCATTTCAAACAGCTGATGGATCTGCAGGTTCTTCTAAAACTGCTTTGTGAAAGTAAACTGTTGGTGGCAGAGATTTAAAAACAGCCTTTTAATGTTCGAGCTGAAAGTCCAGATGTTTAGACAGAAAACATCTGGATATTTTTACAAAATACCGATGCTAAAGATGGATAGTTAGAGATAGAAAAAAGTAATTTGACACCAAAAGAATTTCAGGAAATTTCCAGAAAAATCAAGAACATTCTGAGTTTGAAAAGTCAAAAATGTGCAAGAAAACAACTCAAATTTTGAGATTAGTTTCAGAAATGTAGAAAAAAAAGACAAATTAGAAAAACATTGACAACCCAGTGTGATGCAGTGTGATGTTATTGGATCAGTTTTATTTCTACCTCAGCTTTATTGAGGTAGAAATCCTTCATTTCAGCTTGAAATGAAGGATTTGATGTGAATCATCCAACAGCAATCAGAAACATTGCGTTGATAATTCCACAGATATTGAATAATTCAGAGTGAAACAGATTTGATGCGATCTTTCATGAGAATCTCCTGGTTTGTGACTCGGCAGCATTTTTCTCATTGCTACACGTCGGTGACGCCAACAGCTGCTGAGCTGCATCGTTTCCTGACTGGCGGTTCGTCCAGCCGTTGAGTGAAACCGTCCTGCAGGGTCAGCGGGTCTCAGTGTGAATATTCCTCCTCCGCTGAGCTGTCGGAGGAACGGCGCTTTCTGCTGGCATCGCGTCAAAGAGCTCCAACCTCTGACCAAAACAGAGCAATGATTCATCAGCCACAAAACCCACAGAGAGGCCAACTGGCCACTAGGAGGCGTTTTCTCTGGAACAGGACAGCTTGAATCCAGGGAACACAATTAAAGGATAATCATTTTCTTTCATAAAATATCCACATCATCATAAATCTTTGCAGTCATAAAAGCAGTAAATGTAGAATTATGCAAAGGCTCTGGGCTTGTTGGGGTTTTAATTTAGTCAGTTTCACAGCAAATTTTGCTGATGAAGCAAAAGTTTGGTGTTTTTTTTCCTTCGGCTGTTTTTCCCAGCAGGTCAGAGTTGTTATAAAAACCTCCTCAGTGGCTCTGATAAAGGTCACGCTTTAACGTCTGTCTGCAGTCGTTACCGCGCCTCTGCTCTGCTTTGCATAAATCTGAGGGATTTATCCGTCAGAAATGCAGAGTGGGCTCTGGCTTTATTGAATCTCAGCCATAAATGTTTGTTAGGAATCCTCCAGGGACCATCTGGGCCGGGGAGCCCGTCAGAACCGGGCCTCGGCGCTAACACATGGAAAGTGAGTTATAGAGGACGAGCCGATGACCTGAAGCACAGAAAGCTTTGGGTAATTCTTGTGTTCGGTCCGGTACCTGAGAACTGAGTGACCATAAATAGACTAAATTAAAATGAGATGCTGTAATATTTTACATAATATAATTATTTTACATAATTTTAAATAATTATTATTTTTATCCATTTTAGTTTGGCTTATTTTAGCGTAACAGCTGAGTTTAAGTTTAGGTTTTTATATGATTTTTGTTTAGTTTATTATATGTTCATTTTGTTTTAGCCTAGTTTTTGCCCTATTTTACATCATCTCAGCTCATTTTATTTATTTCTTTGTTTTGTTCATCGTCATTTAGCTGGTTTTAACTTTTCTTATCTTCACCAATTTGATTGTGTAATTTGATTTATTTGTGTTTCTGACCCTTAAAAGTAAATTTAATAATTTTTTTAACCTTGTTTTTTTCTTTTTATGTATTTTTAAAGCTGTTAAACTCATAATAAGCAGATCATCATCATCAGTTGTGTCTCATGCTGCTGCAGGTTGCAGGCAGGTCTCTGCAGTGTTTACACTTCACTGGACTGAAAGAACAGAAAACCTGTAAATAGGAGAAATATTCAGATCGGACGTTTTAAGGGCCTCTGCATTATTTACTGTGGCTGCAGGTTTTGGTGACTGACGGGTCCAGAAATCTTGCTGAGCTTTGAGAAGAGGCAGAACTGAGACTTTTTGTCTTGCTGTCGTCTCAGAGACGGACAGGAAGCGTTTCCCTCTGGATGTCCGTCCCCTGGATGTCCGTCCTTCGTTCACACTAAAAGCTCGGTTACTTCTGTCCGAGTCTCGGGGTTCGGTCCAAACTCCGTGTTTCTCCTTTGGTGTCCCGGTGGCTGTTTCTCTGCAGGACGGCCCTGACTGCCAGTCACGGCTCAGATGGGATCCTGCGCTCCGTTTATTTGTTGATCATTTTAATATTTTGGATCTGGATCAGTTCAGGGTGAATGTTCCTCTTATCGTTCACTGACTGTTTGGGAAATTGCTCCCTCTGGTTTTAGACGCTGTGAAGCTGGATGGTTTTTTGCTCTTATTTAATTTTGGACAGCTGTTAAGATGCGGAACCATGGAAACATTGTATAGTTTAATAGCTGAACTAAGACCCCCGAATCCTGAAAAGGAGCTTTATGGATGCATCACCATCTGCACATGTTTAACTTCCCTTTGGGATAAATTAGTATTTTTTTTATTAATTTGGTAAAATATTTGACATTAATTTTGTGATTTCAGCCGAACCATAAAACTGTTTTAGGTTCCATCATTAAAGCTTTGCTGGTTTTTCACTGCATGTTTTTATTCATTTTGTTGTTTTTGCTGCGTGTTGCTGCCTGTTATTGAACCATTTAAATGAATGTAGTTCAGGCTGGTATTTGCTGGTTAAACTGGTAACCCTGCAGCTGGTTAACTGGTAACTCTGGTCGTCATCGTCTCACTGACGGATGTTTGGTTCCTTTAACTGATCGTCCTGCTCGGTTTTCATCTCAGTTTGAAGAACCGGTCGGTTTTATTTATTGGTGTTTTTACAGCGGACAGCAGGAGGCAGCAGTGTGCAGAATCTGCACCTCCTGGTTCCCTTTCATGGTGTTTAGTTTAAAAAACAAAACTAGTTGTACTGTAGTCTTATTCTAGGAGGAAACGGTGCCCTCTAGTGGCAGAAGCAGCAAACTCGCTGCCTGTCTGAATACTTCTTGCTGTTTTTATGCTGATTTATCCTCCAGATAATTTGTAACTCATCAGTTTAGTTCTGATCTGCTGTTTTTTTGGTTTCTCTGCAGGTTTCTAATCGTTCTGGGATGTTTGATTCTGGCCATACTGACCACATTCAGGGAACACGAGAAGGATTCTGCACACTGGCTGGTCATACTGGTGAGAACGACTCCACAGAAAACACACACACACACACACACACACACACACACACACACGCACGCAGAATGAGTGAGCCTGTTTCCTCTGCAGGAAACGTTTGCCATCTTCATATTCGGAGCAGAGTTTGCACTGAGGATCTGGGCGGCTGGTTGCTGCTGTCGCTACAAAGGATGGAGGGGGAGGCTGAAGTTCGCCCGCAAACCGCTGTGCATTCTGGGTAAGCAGGGGGAATCATAAATATGTTAATTTTTAAAGATAAAATTAAAAGGCTCAGGAAGTCATTCATAAAGCTCCAAGAAACACAATGATGATTATAAAATGGCTGAAAGCAGCCAGAGTGAATCAGGCTGACAGGAGTTTTGTCAGCAGCTTTTCAGAATAAATTTCCAGTAATTGGCCAGAAATGCTCCCCTGGAAGAGGCTGCCCTTCACTTTCTGTGACTGTCAGGAAGCCTGGAGCTGCTGGAGGCATCAAACATCCTCAGTTTGTCCAGAGCTGCTTCAGCCACTGAAGAGCCGAAACGCCTGATGAGTCTGGCAGCTCTGAGCAGAAACCAGGAGACGATAACGACCAGAACTTCCTCTGGGTTTGATCGATTATTAACGATCAAATTGCACAGAAAAAAACAGTTTAAATTAAATTGAATCATTTTTCCTTCAGTTTAACAGGAGCATTAAACTCTCAAAAATCAAGATGGAACCGTCGACCTCAGAGCTGAACCTTCGGAGACACATAAAGACAATCACAAAGTCGGTCTTCTGTCTCCTGAAGAACATTTTAAGAACTAATGTCTTAAATACTTTATTGCCTCTGAAATTCACCAGAAAGTTTAAGAAAGCAAAACTAAAAGCCAGCATAAACACAAAGAGTCCAGAGTTTCATCTGGATCAACTTCCAGGTAAATGATGATTTTCTCTGAATCGTAACGACATTCAGAGAGCAGCTGAATCCCATTTTATCAATCCATCATCATTTAAACTTAATCGTTTCAACACTTCTGCCATCTGTGTTTAGGATTATTTGAGACTTAAATTAGAGCCTCTGCAGACTCCAGCGGCTCTTTTCTCAAGGTGAGCTGTGAATAGAAGAGCATCTGAATTAATCAAACTAAATCAGTTTTTAGTCAAGTCCTGGCAGAGATTAACATCTCTTGAAAAATTGTCTCTTTGACCAACAAACTGGTGTTGGGGTCAAACTCATTACCTCGTCAGAGAAACTCTGGTCCTTGTGCTCCAGACATCTTCGTGCTGATCGCCTCGGTGCCGGTGGTGGCGGTGCGGAACCAGGGCAACGTGTTGGCCACGTCGCTGCGCAGCCTGCGCTTCCTGCAGATCCTGCGCATGCTGCGCATGGACCGGAGAGGCGGCACGTGGAAACTCCTGGGCTCTGCCATCTACGCTCACAGTAAGGTACGACTGGAGAGACTCAGAGGGAAAGCAATGACAGAAAACACAGAAAGGAGCTTCCAGGAATCACAAAAAGACTCAATTTAAACTCTTTTGACCATTATTGGTTTGGTGAGATCCATCTCATCCACTAAAACGGTGAATAAAAAGTCCTAAAGTGATGTAACAGCATCATGTTTTCAGAGTTAATCCCTGTTATCCAGTTATTGATCTGCATGCTAATCTGTGCTGACTGCCTCTGTGCATCATTTATGGATCTTTAAGACATAACCTGTCGCACAGAGACGGTTTAATCACTTCTCTCAGGTTAAAGCAGTCAGGAGGAAGGAGAGCGTGTCCGTCTCGGTGCGTCTGCGCAGACCGGCCTGATGGTCTGTGTTTCTGCAGGAGCTGATCACGGCCTGGTACATCGGCTTCCTGTCTCTGATCCTGGCCTCCTTCCTGGTCTACCTGGTGGAGAAAGACGACGGCTCGGTCAACGTGTCCGACCAGGAGAACCCGACGGCGCAGACCCAGCAGCAGGACTTCGATACGTACGCCGACGCGCTGTGGTGGGGGCTGGTGCGTTCGCTGCGGCTGAAATAACTGTTGGTTTTTGATTTCACTGGAGAAATCTGGATACTCCAGTGAACATGTAAATGAGAACAGCTTTGGTGATGATATTGGTGAAATAAAGTATCTGATATGTTTCTCTCCGCAGTAGAAATAATGTGGAAGTTCTGCTGTAATGAAGGCTTCGGGTTTAGAAAGCTTTGATTTTCTCCTCATTAAATCCGCCGTCCTTCCAGCCAGACGTTTTCCTGTCGGCTGTGGATCTTTTCAGGTTTCTGATTTCATGTCTCTTCTGCAGATCACGCTGACCACCATCGGTTACGGAGACAAAACCCCGAAGACCTGGGCAGGGAGGCTGTTAGCCGGCACGTTCGCGCTGATCGGAGTTTCCTTTTTCGCTTTGCCTGCTGTGAGTGTAGAGCTACGATCATTAGCATGGCTGCAGATAATGAAGGTTAAATTAACAAAAGGTGAATATAAAAGGACTTTCTCCGGTGGTTTTTACAGGAAACTACATCAACAATTAAAAGAAGGTCAATGAATCAGATCCTCAGCGTTGTTGCCTGAACTAATCCAATGCAAAGTTAAACATATTTTAAAGGAGTTTGGCCACATGAGATCATTTTATTGTTTTTATGAATGTTTTCATGGAGCAGCAGCCTGAACTGTCGCTCTGGTTCTGGCTGCAGGGGATTCTGGGTTCTGGTTTGGCTCTGAAGGTCCAGGAGCAGCACAGACAGAAACACTTTGAGAAGCGCCGCCACCCGGCAGCCGGACTCATCCAGGTCAGAGATGAGACGCAGAACGTGTGCTGTCTGGTTCCTGTGTAACTCAGAATCCTGAAGCTGTTGTGTGTTGCATCCAGTCGGCCTGGCGGTATTACTCCACCAATCCCATCAGGGAAGATCTTATTGCCACGTGGAGATTTTATGAAACCATCATCTCTCTTCCCTGCTTCAGGTACGAAGCTCCATCTGTTCTCCACTGAGCCTTAAAGCTGCAGGTTGCAACTTTTTAAAAATATGTTTTTTATTAAAATATGTTCATGCTGCGTGTTTCAGATGCTGCACTAATTATTTAGATGTTCCCTAAAGTTCCAGAGACTTTGAGGTTTTTCACAGTTTGAGTAATCCTCCAGGTTTTGTTTATTCTGTGACTTTCTCTCTCTGTCTGGTAGGAAGGACACCTTGGAGGCCATGGTGAGGTAGGTCGCTGAGCTCCCTGCAGAGACGCTGTGCCTACAGTAAGGACTTTAATTAGGCCACCAGCTGCAGAGAGAAAATAATGAACATTTCCTAAAATATCCCACCCAGCCTGTCTTCAAATAGCTTCGTAAATTAATCCATGACTCGGATAAATGACTCTGGGAAGAAGTTGATATTGAACGGCCACTCATTCTGTCGCTCTGACTTTAACATTAAGCTGAGGATTTTTGAGAACTTATTAGTGAGTCTATTAGTCCTGACTGAACGATGAGTTCAGTAAGTGAAGGCAGGAATGAGGAGGATTGTTTCCCTTTATCAGTGATGAGTTCCTTCAGCCCATAAAATGTCAAAATTACACTGAAAATATTTGAAAATAAAAAATGCTTTTAATCTCTTCTGTGTCTGACATGTTCAGCTTTACTGTTGAAACTTATTTTATTCTCGTTCTGAACTCGTCTGAGTTGCTACTGAGTGATTGGGTGGTTTCTGATGAATACCTGATAAATTGATCGGTGATTTTTGGTGTTAAAGTCTTTCTGAGTCCATCTCCTTCCTCAGCTGTCATCGTTTATTCTCCCAGCTCCTCGTTAGTTTTTCATTTTCTGTCACACTGCTGGGAAAAACCTGCATGAATTTTCAGAACACAGAAACTAAAAACATGCGATCCTGAACAAAGACCCGGAGACGGATCTGGGTCGGACTTTATCTGTGGCTTTGAGGAAGAGGTGGACTTCATCCAGAAACTGCAGCAGCGCTGGGACTTTGGGCTCTTTGTGATTTCTTGCTTTTCTCCTCAGTTTGGTGTCTAATCTGGGATCTTTTCCCTGCAATGTGAACAGAAAATGATCCTCCATCTGAGAGCAGGATGAGCGTTTTGCTGCTTGCTGCCAGCAGATCCTTTCAGATCTTGTCCATCCCGGTTTATTGTGGTTTCTTTTATCTCTATGAAGTTTAATCTTGTTGGAAATAAGCACCAAACTTTGGGTCTTGGAGTATCTGAGCTTGTTTTTTCCTGCTGTTGTGTCACCTCGTTTAGAGAGATCTGGGGATAATCACATCCCATTTTCTGCTCTTTATTCGCCGAGGAGCGTTCAGAAAGAAGACTCCCCCTTCCTTTAAAGCGTTCCCTTTCTGCAGCCTCTCAGCGCTGTAATCTGCCGTCCCTTTCTGCCCTGAGGCCACATAGAGGCTCATATTGTGTCTGCTGTGGGAGCAAAGTCGCTGGGAGCGCTCCACGTTTTAGAGGCCTCGTTTGGGCCACTGGCGGCTCCAGTTACTGCTCCACCTCCCCGCCTCTTCGAAGGGACACAGGAGTCTTATTTTACCCAGAAAGCTGCGTCTTTGTGCTGCCAAATATTGTCACAGGACCAATCTCCTTGGGTTCTTCGCCGCTCCCCTCAGCCTGATGCGCAGCTCATGCAGAACCAGCAGGTGTAAAATAAAAGATGTTTCAGTTTGAAGCAGGAATCCTAACATGCAGGTTGTGGTCAACACCTTTTTCTCCTTGTTCATTATTGTCAGCATAACACAATGAAAATACTGAAGATTTGATGTCCTGTTCCTTTCCTCTCCACCTCAGTCAGAAAGTGAGTTTGCTGGAACGTGTTCGTAATTCCAACGCCAGGCCGTCGTTGGGGATGGTCAGGAAGCCCGCGGTGAACGCCGAGTCCATCGAGGAGAGCCCCTCCAAGGAGCCCAAACCCGCCGGCTTCAGTAACCGCGAACGCTTCCGGACCGCATTCCGGATGAAGGCCTACACGCTGCGCCAGAGCTCTGAAGGTCAGAGTGCCAACCGCAGGAGAACGTCTCTGACAGCGGTCAGTTTACTTTGTGCTGTTTGTCTTCCAGATACTGGAGGCCTTGCAGACCCAGTCTTAGAGGACCGGGGCTTCCCGCCAGAGATCCTCCTGGAGGAGATGATCCCGACTCTGAAACTGGTCATCAGGGCAGCAGGTCCGGAGTAATCACTCTCACTTTCCAGCAGTCCTGAACTTTGAGCTTCGATCTGTTAAAACAATCCTCCAAAGTCCAGAGAGAAAACCTGAAAAGGTCTTTGCCGTGTTTCCACTACCCATAAACTACCCACTATCGTATGATAGTTTATGGATCGTATGATAGTTTATATCCTGTAGAGAATGTTTTCACCACCAGTTGGACTTTAACTGGGCGGTTTGGGTTAAACCCAAACACCTAACGCTTCGTCCTACTACAGCAATAACAAACAGGAAGAAAACCGTTTCCTGGCCCGATCAAAGGACTGTATTGTAGCTCTGCTCATTTTCCCGTAGACCTACAACTGAAGGGTCTCCAGGAATGGAGTGGTACGGACGGTTGCATGGGCCGCTTACAGACAAACTTGCATACCACGCCGCTCTGACCCATGCCAAACCGTTCAGCAGAAACAATATTAGAGAGCCTGTAGAGCAGTGACCAGAGCCACTTCAGAAGATAACAGGAAGGTCTGACAGTTTGGAAGGGAATTACAGAGTCATCCGTCCATCCCATCTCTGGTGCTAATCTCTAACGGTCATTGGTGAGACGGGAGTGACAGCCTGGACAGGTCACCAGTCCATTACAGGTCACGATCCTGGACTCACCCTGAAGACAATTTAGACCCACCAGTTAGTCACTATCACTATAGGAAACCATTCATGCACAGGGAGAACATGTGCATTTCATGGAGAAAGACCCAAAGCTGGATCATGAAACCAGAGTCTGTAGAAAACACCAACAGTTTTAACCTGATCAAATGAGATTATGGTCATGACCTGCACTGCCTGCATGTCAGAGGTTTCCTTCTGCCTGAGTTTCTCATCACAAAGACAAGGAGCCCAGAATCAGTGAACTCTAAAAACCATGATGTTTATCTTACTGTGCTGGAATAAAAGTTTGTTTTAGGTCAACATTTTGCATAGATAGCCGTCTATTCTGTCCTACCTTGGCACGTTGCAATAATCGGACAGTATTATATCAGTTCCACTGTATCACCAGTTAAGATCTTTATTTTTATCATAAGATAAACAAAGTAGCAATGTAATAGGTCTGCAGGTCTGAGCATGTGTGCTCAGTGTGACTTTTCTTTCAGCAATGCAAAGCTGGATGTGTCAGTGATGTAAACCAGAGCTCACACGTTAGCAGTCTCCTCTATAGGCCACACAGCTGGCATAATGCAGGAATCCAACCTATGAGATGAGTGATTAACCCTGTGAAAGCACTTCTTCCTCCACCCCATTATGCTGGGCCTGAATGACTCCCTGAAAGGGGAACTCAGACACCAAGGGTTTTGGTTTCAGGACCCCCAAGACTTTCTGCCAAACAGCGGAGCTCCTGCAGCAGCCGAGGACTCTGGGAAGAGCTGAAGATAACAGCTCAGTGGGTGGCAACAGGTCTCAAAGACCCGATGGATGATGGGACTGAACTCAAGTAGGGAAAGTGTGAACACCAAAGGAGCCGGTGTACGATTTGCCTGTAATGAGCCGGTAGAAACAGGAGTTGCTGTCAGGTGACTGATCAGTAAATGGCATTTTGTTGGCTGGACTTGGATGTAAGCCAGTGGTTTCAGTCCCAGTCCTCAGAGACCCTGCATGTTTTAGGTGTGGCCTTTCTTCATCCAGTCATTTGAATCAGGAGTTCCTGAACAGAGACTCAGATATGCAGGGCAGTGGCCCCTGAGGACCGGAAGCACCAGCTTAAACCAAACTAGAAGAATGCGTGCACCAAGAGTGGCCGAGAGTTCAGTTTGTCTGAACTCTGATCGCTTTACCAGGCAGTCCTTCAGATGAACATTATCCACCTGATGGCTCCGAGTTCAGACTGAAAGGATAGTGCCACCAGTACAAGAACAGGACTGAGCAGATCCAGACTGCTTGTTTTATTACTGTTCCCTCCGGTCCAGTCAAAGTCAACATGTTTAATTTGCTGCTCTGTCTGCATTACAACTGCGGTGGTGAGACATGGATCTTGACCGAAGAACAAGACATAAAGTATCTGGGATGACCTCTCTCTGTACAGCAAAAAGCTGAGATCCAGAAGTTTGGGAGTTTTTAGTCGTTTGGTGTTTGAGGCATCCGATGCCTCTGACATCTTGTCCTGGTGGCTTTGGGGCATTTCCTCCTTTGCAACCAACTCCAGGGCAGATATTGAACTTTCATCCTATATCTGAACAATGACCAGCATTCAAGGACATCAAAGTTAGGTTTGTGAATTGCCCTCAGTGTTTGCTTTACCCTGTGATGGATCACTGCCCTGTCCAGGGTCCACAACCCTTTGGCCCAATGACTGTTGAAGATAGAAACCCGTCCCCACAATGGGCGGATGTCCTGAGGTTTTGCATGATTCTTGGGTAGTTGTAGAAATCTCCGTCTGTTTTAGTTGGTGTAACTAGTTGGGTAAACTCCAGGAAAGCTTCAACAGATGCAGATATGTTGATCTTTGCTTCGCAGGATCATGCAATTTCTCTTGAACAAGAAGAGGTTTAAGGAAACTCTGAGGCCTTACGATGTCAAAGATGTGATTGAGCAGTACTCAGCTGGACATCTAGACATGCTCTGCAGAATTAAATACCTCCAGACCAGGTGAGCAGACACAACGCAGAGGGGTAAATCTGGCCTCATATGTGCCGTGCTCAACCTGTTTCTTCTCTAAAGGATCGACATGATTCTTGCCCCTGGACCCCCCCTCACCCCAAAAAGCAAGAAGCCCCAGAAAACACCCTTTAACTACCCATCCAGCCAGTCACCCAGGTACTGCCACACCATCGCTAACGTTCTAGCATGTCATGGCGGCACCATCTTAATGGACTTGTTTCTGTTTGTTTCAGGCATGAGTCTTACTTAGCCAAAGCCACGTCCATGCCAGACACTGAAGACCAAAGCATGATGGGTAGATTTGTCAGGGTGGAGAGGCAGGTGAGAGAATATAACAGTCTGGATATAGCTTCCCATCTGTGGACTCTGCTGTGTTTGTGTTGCTTTTCTATTATTTTGTTGTGTTTTTATTGGTTGATCAACTAAATTCATTCGTAGTTGAAGGTTATGAAAACCTTTAAATCCATGAATTTCTTCTCTTTAATGAGGAATAAAACGTATTTCTGTTCAGAAGGAAGCGGCCGGCCATGTCCTTCCTGGTTCTGAGCTTTGGTGTTGGCGGGTCGGTTTCCTGAGCTCATGGATGGATGTGTCTCTGTCTCAGGTGGAGGACATGGAGAAGAAGCTGGACTTCCTGGTGGACATGCACATCCAGCACACCGAGCACCTGCAGGTGGACTCGGCCGGCGACGCTCGGATGACCCTGGAGGCCTGCGACCAGACGGCGAACGGTGAGATCCGCCGGGTTTTCCTCAACTACTCCGAGGTGTTCCCTCAGATGTCATACCAGGTGCCTGTCAGCAAAGCGAATTCGACCTGCAGCAGAGGGCGAGGCGGCAGGCAGGGGGTCGGGTTGGCAGGCGGCGCGGCGCCGGCCGCCATCCCCACGTACACAGAGCGGCCGACCGTGTTGCCCATCAGCTCCCTGCAGGACTTGTCGGCGGGGCGGGGCAGGACCACAGGGGCCCTGGGGGGCGACTCGCCGCTCTCGCTCCTGTCTGTGAACCACGAGGGCTGGAGCGCTCGCCCAGCGGGTTCAGCATCTCCGGGGAGCGGGAGGGCGAGGCGGGGTTGGACCTGTCGATGGGGGCGGCGGTGGCGGCCGGGGAGGCCAGCTGGACGAGAACCAGGCCGAGCTACTTGGCCGAGGGCGAGACGGACACGGACACAGACCCCTTCACGCCCAGCGGCGGCGCCCTGCCCCTCTCCTCCACCGGCGAGGGGTTCGGGGACGCAGAGTGGAACACGCCGCCCTGAAACACGACGCCACCTCGACTCAGACCTTAAATCCAACCCATGCCTCTAAAACCCAGAACGCTGGGTCAAAGCCACAGCTTTGGGACGAAGGTGGGTCTGATCCCCTCGTTGTTCTGAACGACCGGCTGTCGACCTGCAGAGGCCGCCGCCGCCCAGGCGGCGAGTCCGCACCTACGGCAAAACAAAAAAAAAGGGAAAGCAGAACGTTTGTAAAGAAAAAACTCTGTACAGCGCACTCTTCACAAAAATTTAGCGAAAAAAGAAGTAATACATAATATACACCCAAAAGCTTTACTGCTGCAAAGCCAACCGCACTGCATGTGACGCATGCGACGTTTAGTGTAGACACTGCAAATTTCAGGATATATCAGGAAAAAGAACAGAGATTGAATGGAAACTTATACCTGCTATGCCATTTTGTAACACTTATTTTTATATGAAGAGATCCTTGTTTCTGCATGGTTTGCATGATGCTGCACCATTCCTGAGGCGACCACTAGAGGGCGACACTGGAACCAAAAGTCTCCTGTCTGTCTCGTTGTTTGTCCAACTTTCTTACATTTATGTTGTTTTGTTTTTGCTGGACGTCAGCTCAGATTTACAAACTTACAGTCAGAAAATATTTGAAACACTAAATTTCTGCTGTTTGCTGGCACATGGATTCAGGGATATGAACCGTCTCTCATTTCATTCAACACGTTCATCATAATGTTGGCCAATATGCACAATATAAAGACATATAAACAAACTGCTAGGTATTTTACCCTTTGCTTTTCCCATGTTTAGCCAGATTTAGTGAAGAATTCTGGAAAAAAAATATTCCATAATGTTATTGAACTATTTTGTAAAGTTGCAGTAAATGTGAAGGTTCAGCCTTTAGAGGTTTATATGTTTTCACAGGTGATAAATTCAGCTTCATGGATGACATTAAATATTTTAATTGAGTTAATTACAGGCTCTGAAATTAATAAATTGTTTAATTTAAACCTGTATATTGACAGAATAAGCAACAAATTCTCTTGAAAACCCATTTTTTGCTAAATTATGAAATAAGTAGAAATGGGCTCAACAACTAAGATATTTATAGTTTTTAATCAGTTATTTAGTTTATTAAACCATCAGATTTGAGCAAAATGTATTTCTGTCCAGGAAGTCCTAGACTGTGGATGCTAACATTAGCATTAGCTGCTGCATGTTTAGCATAGACATGCTATTTTAGGCTAGCATAGCCTCCCTGACAGGCTAACTCCTTTTAGCACAACTTGAACACAACAACAGTCTTTTCCAACATCCAATCAGGTCATTTATACAGAAGTTGAACCCAGAAGGCCGCGGGAAGCGGCTTCGTTGTCCATCGCTGCTGTTAGCGGATGTAGCATGTGCGTCAGACTCACAGGTCAGACCAGGAACATGCAAACACTTTTCACAGCGCAGAACAAAGCAGAAAGGGTTAGGGTTATGAACTTATAAACATGTAGAGAAAAACCAGGAACATCTGAGGCTGTAAAGACTAAAGAATCCTGTCAATGGAAACTTTGGGAAGTAAAAGAAAACATTTAAACATCTTTATAAAAGCTGTTTTAACCTTTCCTAAAATGACCCCAAACAGAGAAATAGAATTAATTCAAATTTATTTTGGATTGTCTGAATAATTTATTGTCTCAGTTTCTGATTTATAGGAAGTGTTGCTCCATAAACCTATTTCTGAAACGTAAACAGCTTTAAAAAGTTAAATCTGAAGGTTTTTAAAAGTTTTCTAATGTTGCCGTTCTGAACTCTGAGGTTTTTTCTTGCTAAAGACAAAAATTTTAGTGGGATTTTATGATGAAGCAACACAAAGTGAAGAGGAAGGAAAGCAATGCTTTGCTTTCAAATTTCTATAATAAATAAGTCAATAAATTGTAAAAAGTGGAATGAATCCTGTAATATCAGCCTAAAGTGGAACAATAAAGTTGTAATTTCACTGCGATTAGCTGGTGCATGTTTTAAAATTTTATTCTCTTGACTATTTTTGCTATCAATGAAAATAATCCACTTATTAATAAAGTATTTAAATCTGCTGCTTCATCTTTTTTATATATTTTGAAAAGTTAAACAGTTAAACTTATTATATGATACATAAATGGATATTTGCATTGTTATGGAGCTGTTTGAATTGCTTTGAAATGGTTCAAAATCATCTAAATATACTGGGCCTTAATAAATATAGTGTAGGAAATGTTATTCATCCTACTTTGCAATAAGACATTTATATATACTTAAAGTTTCTTATTTGTAATTAAATCTTATTCTATTTGTAATTTTGAAATCTGGATGTTCTGAACAACCTGGAAACATTTTTAGGCCTGAACTGCTTTTACTACTTTACCTGTAGAATCACAGATTGTGATGCAAAACCTGATCAAACTTGAGTTATCACTTCTTATCGCATGTTGAAGCAGATCATACTCACCAAATCTCTGCTCTGCTTTATGACTATAAACTCTATTTAACAATCTTACTCTGTGTCGACGGTTTTCTATTTTTGAAGCGCCGTACATCTGCTGTATGTTTTAAAAAGAAAATGTAGATTTAATTGGGAAAAGCAAAACTGCTTGGAGGTGAATTCAAACTGTTTTTTGAGCCGAAAGAAGATGTTTTCTCAGTTTGTCAAGAATTTTATAACTCATAGGGAATAGTTTGAATTTAATGGGGTTGTGTGGAGTAGCTATAAGTAGTCAGTTTTTAGAGTGACTTGTTAAGCACAGCTAACTCTTAGGCTAACTGTGAATCTGTCATGCAAACCGTTGATTTAGCTATCAAGCTAACAGTCTAATTGTAACAGCTAACTGTTTATCTGTTATACTAACTTTCTGTCAATCTAATTGTCATGCTAACACTCAATCTTATTGTCATGGTCTAATTACCATGCTAACTGTTAAGCTGGCTATGAAGATATACATGAGGTAGCGGTAGCAGTATGAATTAGGCTAACTGTTATGCTCATAATAAATAATCTGTCATGCTAACAGGACATTAGCAGGTCAGAGTTTGATGTCTACTGTTTAACTACTGACCTCAGTGTTGAGTTATAAGCAAGACAACTGTCAAGCAAATGGAAAATCCACAGCTTTCAAGCTAACAAGCAAGATATATGTCAAGCTAGCAGTTGGGCTAACAGTCATGTGGTCAGATTGACTGCCTGACAACTTTATTTCCAAGTTAACGTTTGTTGTAACTGTGGAATCAGTAACCGGCTAAGCTGACAATCAAGCTAAACTTGCAGTTAGCTATAAAGCAAAAAGATAACATTTAATTTCAGAGTTGTGTTCTGCTAATTTTGAAACTATGCTAAACGTTAGAGCATAAGTCTAAAAGTCTCCAGTAGGTAAAGTTTACAGAGGTAAAATCCTCACAGTCATTATTTCATCCTGAGTTGTTTCAGGATGTCAGTTTTGGGCCAAGCTACATTTAGCATCACAAACAAATGAAGGCAGGATAGTAGCAGAGATTTGACTGAAGGAACTGATAAGATACTGACTTCTCATAGATACCTCAGACAAACCCAGCGGTAAAAATTCAAACTGGTCCTTGAAACTCCCTGTTCTGCTTGAAAGTCTGGATCAGAGGCAACGCCACTGAAATGGGAAAGACGTTCTATTATCTGCTTAATCTGCTGTACAACAAATATAATCTGCTCCTCTAATCCACTTATATAAAAACTAAATGTTGGAGGATTAGTTGTCAATGCACAGACAGGATAATCTAATAATCTGTATCCCTGTAGAGATTCATTCATTCATTCATTCATTGTGCCTCCAGCACCGTCCAGAATGATTCAGTCATTCATGATTTAGTGTTTCAGACGCTGAAGTTCAGCCCACAGTTCATGAACATGATTTAAAATCTGGTTTCTGTAAATCTGGTTCTGATGGTTTCTGGTGTTTTCAGACCCAACATGTAAAGTTTTTACTGTTTCTGTTTTTCTTCTTGTTCTGGTTTAAAGTTTTGATGTATTTTCTTGTTCTTTAAAATGTTTTGCACAACAATATCTTTGCCTTGCACTTCAGTTTCAGTTTATAAAACATCTTTAAATGCATGCTGTACTTATTTCTTCCATCTGAAATTCAACGTGTGGCTTCCTTTCAAACTGACTGAGCGAAGTATGAAAGCGTCGGCATCAAATCACTGTTGAAATGTATTTTTTTAATTCGAGAAAATGTCTTCCAGGACAGGAAATAAACTGCAAAAGGAATAATGCTACCAAAATTAGAAAATACAAATTTATTACACCTACTGAAAATATTCAGTAATATTTTATATTCAGTAAAAACAGTGCTAGCATTACTTTTTGCAGTGAAAAATTGTCACTTTAATTTATTCTCACTTGAATTAAATCGTGTTTTTATTACGTCAGAAACTTTTGTCCTTTTTTGCTCTTTTTTTAATTTGTTTCTGCATGTCTCTTTCATGTTATCCAGTTTATCTGGATGAAACAAAAAGTGAAGAAAAAGTCATAAATTCAAATAGTTTAATTCAAACTACCTGTTATTTTAATACAAGCCAACATTTAGGGAAAGTTTCTCCGTTGATGATTTAATGACTTGTAATCAAATTAAAGGCTCTTAAATCAGATTAAACTTATTTTGTTTCAGCTCAGTTAGAATTACCTAAAATAGAAACAATAATGATAATGTTTCATCTAAATAGTTATTTTATCTATTTTAACAGATATTCTATAAAACATTTATTTTCCTTTCCGTCATCAAATCAAATATTTTCTGTTCATTTTGCTCTGATGTGAAGTTTTTCCCTCGTCATTCATGACATTTTAAATGTTTAAAACCAGTTTTGATTTAAACAGATTTAAAGATAAAATGTCTGAATTTATTCTCGTTTGTTTCTTTGCTGATTAATTGTAACTTGGTTTTTTGTCACTTTCAGACTGACATGAGAACTGGATCAATATATTTTATTGATTGGTTTTTAATTTTCCCTTCAAAGTTTCCATTTAAACTTTTGAATCGTTTTCCAGTAAATTCCAGTTTAGTTCCTGTTTAAAAGTCAAACTGGTTTCTGTCCGTTCAGATTGTTTCTGCTTGAGGGAAATTATTTGTTCATTTCTGTTTCTTGGACTTTAATGTTTATTGTTGAACATGTAGAGTTGGAATTGATTTTTTCCATCTGCGTAGTTTTTACATTTTCCACAGATCGATATCTGAACAAACTGTGTTATATCTCCTGCGTCGTTCTGGTGATGAATGAGTGAAACATCTGGACTCATTCATTCATTCGTTCGACTCGGATGAATTTGGAAAACATGCTGCTCATATTTCCTTGTTTTGCTGGAGGATAAAAGCCGGCGGATCATTTAAAAAGAAAATCCATGATGGCATCAAACTCGCGCCGTTTTTCTGTGTTTAATGTTGTGGATGAAAAGGAGCACTTTATGGCATCCAGGTAGATCTGAGGCAGTTCTGCTCGATGAAACGTTGTTTTCATGAATGTTTGTTTTCCACGGTGCGTTCGGCTCTCAGCCTGTAAACTCACTGGACGTTTTGATTGCTACTGATTATTTGTGCCTTGGCCTTTTGCAGTTATGATTTTATCTCATGCTTTTCTCGCTGAGGCCGTCAAACTCCAAACGTAAACCTGCCGCCGTCGTCTGGACCCGGCGGCGCCGTCTGGACCCAGCGGCGTCGTCTGGACCCGGCGGCGCCTGTCTGGACCCGGCGGCGTTGTCTGGACCCAGCGGCGCCTGTCTGGACCCGGCGGCGTCGTCTGGACCCGGCGGCGCCATCTGGACCCGGCGGCGTCGTCTGGACCCGGCGGCGTCGTCTGGACCCGGCGGCGCCTGTCTGGACCCAGCGGCGCCGGTCCAGACCTGGCGGCGGTGGCGGGACTCTGTCCTGCAGTGAGACGTCCTGCAGCCGCCGTCTCCGTCTCAGGCAGGTTTACATGAGGAAACGACGGCAGCTTCTTCTTACAGAAACATTTTTATTAAGTTTAATTTAAGGAATGTTTGGACAATTTTCCACTAGTGGCCTTCAGAGCTCTGCATCATTTCATTTATTTCTCATTAGTTTGGAAAAAAAAACTAAAGTTGCTGTTTTGATTCTGTCCTAAAACACTTTGATATGTTGTTTTTATGATATAATATGCAAACGTATTCTTACTTGATTTGTTTTTTATTTTTGTGTTTTCAATTGCACCAGTTATTAATAAAGTAATAAACTGAACATTTTCTGAGTGGTTTTAATTCTTAATATTTGGAAACTTTGTCTTTTAAACTGGAAACTTGCAGGTTTATAAAACTTTTCTGAACTGTTTTTATTTTTCGGTTTTATTTACATAAATGTTGTTGAATCTTTAAATGTTTATAATCTGAAATATTTAAGTGTTTTTCTGTTCCAGTTCAGGCTGGAATATTAAATATGAAGGAAAATGTTTGTTTTGTTTCAAGCACAGGGCCACAGTGGGGAGAAACGTCTCCGGTTCAGCAGGAATGGAACCTCCTGCTGATCGGATCATTTTATGTTTGGATCAGTTGAAGGTTCTGGAGAAAACACTTTTTCTTGTTAAATGAAACCAGCAGCAGAACCGGAAAATGATTCTTGGAATCATCTGGTTTATCAGCTCCTTAACTTGCTAACATTTGTTCTGCACTCAGTTCCTGTCAGGTTAACTTCTGGACTTTGACTACACCACTCCAAGGAAACAGCCCCGGTGAAATCAGAACTTTTATTTGGACTCTGTGATGCTGCAGATTTTCATCTTTCCATTTGGATGAAAACTATTTAGATACGACCTGAGTGTCCTCCTGCTCCCAGAAGTACTTCATGAAATAATCCTGTTGTCTCAGCGTTGGTGTCTCTTGCTCCCTCTGCAGGCCAGTGTTGTGAATTGCAGCCTTTCTGCAGTTTTCCCTGGAGGTCTGGTGTTTCTTACAGCGAGCTGTTGGAGGTGGTGAAGGATCTGAATTATCCTGAGCCTCCAAGCCGCCGGCCTGCTGCCAACAGCTGCTGCTCAGAGGGGAGAAAACGGCCTAGTTGAATCCTGTCAGAACAGCTGATGCACGCGGTCAGATCTCCTGGATTTTCTTCTGCTGAGGGTTGAGAAGTTTCTGCTGGATTTGAAGGTTTTCTTTTCCTCCTCGTGTTGCTGCAGCCGCCGTGTTGCTGCAGCCGCCGTGTTGCTGCAGCATCATGGCAGCAGCTCTCAGGTTCCTGCCGCTTTCTCGCCTCTGGTTGATCACCTGCGTTTCTGCAGCTTCGCTCCTCATCCTCTTCAGCCCAGGTTGGTCCTGAAAAGCTCCTGTTATAAATAATCAGAACCTTTTTCAGTCAATCTTCACTTCCTAGTTATGAAAAAAAAAAAAACTGATGATTTTAGAAAATTTCTGCCTGGAAATAAAAAAATTACAAAATAATTAGAACTATAAAGATCTCATTATAGTTTTCCTGTTTGCTACAATCCCATAAATAAATTCTATAAATCTTTATAAAAGTTGAAATCTTTGTGCAGATTTCAGAAGCAGGATGCAAGACGAGCGACTGAAGAGAGACTTCAGTCATTTATCAGGTATTTTCTCTTTCTAAGACACTTTATTGCAAATTTCTCCTGATCAAATTATTCAATACATTTTAACTGACTCACAAAATGAGAAAAAATAAACTTTCAGTTTAATTTCCAGTAATTGTTTAGTTTTTATCTTTATTTTTATTATATAATATTTTATCTGTAAAATATTAAAATTAATGTCAGAAACTGGACGAAGCTCATAAGTTTCCTGATGCATGAAAATAAGTTTCTAGTTTTTCTACACAACTTAATGGGTATATTATGGGATGTTGTGCAGGACTTTTTCCACAATCTGGATTCCTGCTCAGAGTTTATTGGATGTTTTTACTGCCAGGCACTTGGAGCGTTTTCTAGAACTTTCTCTGTTTTCTTGAAAAACATTTAAAAGGAGCTGAAATGACAAAGACTGGGTTGAACTCATCCTGTTGTCTGTTGATCTAAAACATCTCGTTTGTTTTCTGCACCGTTCAGACGTGGCTCTGTTTCAGTGATTCAGAGTCAGATTCCCAGAATCATCTCCGTCTTTCTGTTTCACCTCCCAGAAATCCCAGCAGAGAGCGCCATCGACGCCACCGCCATCGACCTCACGCCGCTGGTCAACACCTTGATCAATTCCAGCCACTCTGGTAGGTTATGGCGGCAGCATCACTGCATCGCCGCCCTGCCGCATCGCCGCTCCGGATCTGTTTCCATCCTTCAGGTTCCACGTTCAGGACGCGTGAAGAATCATGCATGTTGGTGTGAACCGTGGAATCCACTCGGGTTTTCTGCAGGCCGGTCGGGTTTACAGGAGCAGGAAGCTGCGCTGGAGGAAATGAGTTTCTAAACTTGATATTTGGATAAAATGATCTTTTTTCTTCTCTGACGTTAAATCAGACCAGAGATTTCTTCTTTTAGGTTTGAGAATCACTGAAACTGAAACATTTTTAGAGATGTTTTGTTGCATTTCTTTGAATTCAAACGTTTATTTGGTCAGTATCAGGGATAATTGACCTTTGACCTGGAGGAGTTGGGTCAGCCCTCTGATTGGTGAACTGGAGTCACACCTGTTCCTCCGGCTTTTCACAGTTGATTCTGGTTGTGATTCATTAATATTGTTGCTCATGTGTGACGCTGAATGCATGTCTAGTTTTTTTGGTCAGTTTTTGTAGAAGTGACGGTTTTCTGACCCGGTGATGCTGCATGTGTTGCAGGATCTCTGCAGCTCTTCTCTCTGCTCAGCGTTTCGTCCTTCAGCCCTCTGGACCTGCACAGACTCACCCTGCTGGTTTACAACAGTAAATATGATCCGCTTCACAGAGCCTGCAGTCACTGCGCTGCTCAAACCTGCTAAATACTGCCACCTAGTGGCCTGACTGCTCCAGCTGCAGTCACATCTCTGAGTGATAAATAATTAATTTCTCTTTGTTTTGCTGTGTTTAGTTTCCGGTATAAAGAGCTTAGACAGCGGTCTGTTCAGGAGGCGGTTCTGCTACTGCGTCACCAACGACACAAACGACCTGACCGGTGAGGATCCGTCACCTCCTGACCCCGACCTGCAGCTCTTCTCCTCATCATGACCTCTGATCCTCAGATTTCACCGCCATCCTTCTGGACGTGATGGGAAACTCAACCAGTCACCTGCAGGAGCTGTTCAAGTCTTCCTCCATCCTGTCAGGTTGACAGTAACAAAATGTCAAAGTATTTCCGTCCTCTGCAGGATCTATTAATTTAATCTGGATTAAATGTTTTCTTTGTCCTTCCTGTTGATGATGTGAAAAGGATCAACATTCGGCTCTGACTGGAACGTGAACGTGTTTAATGTGTTTCCTGTTTGTGTCTCAGTCAGCCAGAGGAACAACTCCGACTGCATCTACATCTGTGTGATGGCCGGAAGACGGGTTGGTAAAGATCTGCTGCTTTAGCTCAGGAATAATCTGATGTAAAACATCTCTGGATGTTTCCTGGAGTCTGTTGTGTGACTGAAGTGCGTTCTGTCCAGGCAGAGAGGGAACCGGGTTCTGGGCCGACGGCTCCGTCACGCTGCTGTTCAACCAGACCATCGTCGAAGGACCGAACAGAGGTTCGTTCAATCTGCAGGAAAATCAGACGCACTCGTTATAAACAAAATAAACCTGCAGTTTGCTTCAAACTTCAACCTTTTAAAGCTTCTCACAAGACCAGAATTTAGATTATTTTTGTTCTTTGGAAGAGAAAAAAGTTCCCAAATTGACAAGAAATGAGGAAAACATGAATTTGTAATATTTGGGTAATGGATCAAAATCAGTGACGGCTTAAAATGTCAAATTTTCAGCTTTGATTTGCTTTTCATATTCCTGAAAGTCTGAATAAAATAAAAAGAACAAATGTGGAAAAAATACATCATATGCATTTCTAAATAAGTTTTTACTTTAAATAGTTTTACAGAAAAACTGTAAACTTCTTGTTGTAGGATGCATCTCGTCTATTTATGTTTTTTTCAAAGTTTTTCTCAGACCAACCAGCTAGCATAGCATCAGATAAACCGGCTAGCATAGCATCAGATAAACCGGCTAGCGTAGCATCAAATAAACCGGCTAGCGTAGCATCAGACCACCCGGCTAGTGTAGCATCAGACCAACCGGCTAGCGTAGCATCAGATAAACCGGCTAGCGTAGCATCAGACCAACCGGCTAGCGTAGCATCAGACAAACCGGCTAGCGTAGCATCAGACCAACCAGCTAGCGTAGCATCAGATAAACCAGCTAGCGTAGCATCATGCTAGCTCTGAACGCTGCTAGGTTGAGCTAATGCTAACAGACACGGAAATGAAACATTTGTTTTCTCAGATTTCTCATCTGCAGTTTCCATAAACCTGAATAAAAAAACAGACTCACTGACACTTTCCCAGGAGTTTGAGTCATTTCCTGGAGGTTATGAGGTAACAGTTCAAAGGTCGCCCAGGTCCTTGGTCCTTTAACTTTGACATCATGATTCTTTAATCTTAGATTTGATGCAGAAATCGTGACGTTACATTATTTACATGATTTGCTCCTGATTTCTTCAGCTTCACCACATCAGAGCAGAACATCGTCAACACCGCTAAAGGTCACGACCTCCGTGGCGGTCACACCGACATCCTCCAGGCCTCCAGGCTTCACTGCAGGACGTCCATCAACTGAGACGCCGAACATCCGCACGGGCCAAAGCGTTTCAACTCCTCGATCAGAACATCAACTGGAACCGTGAGACAACCGCCAGCGGCGCTGTTTCAGCTCCTCCTGCGCTCACAACCCGACCTTCTGCCGCCGCAACTGCAGCTGCAACCGAAACTGCAACCGAAACTGCAGCTGCAACCGAAACCAAAACTGCAACTACAACCACAACCGAAACTGCAGCTGCAACCGAAACTGCTGTCGCAACCGCAAGTGCAACCAAAACTGCAACCGAAGCTGCAACTGCAACCAAAACCGAAGCTGCAACTGCAACCAAAACTGCAACCGAAGCTGCAACTGCAACCAAAACCGCAACCAAAACTGCAGCTGCAACCAAAACCAAAACTGCAACTACAACCACAACCGAAACTGCAGCCACAAACGAAACTGCAACCGAAGCTGCAACTGCAACCAAAACCGCAACCAAAACTGCAGCTGCAACCAAAACCAAAACTGCAACTACAACCACAACCGAAACTGCAGCCACAAACGAAACTGCAGCCGAAACTGCAATCGAAGCTGCAACCGAAACTGCAGCTGCAACCGCAAGTGCAACCAAAACTGCAACCGAAGCTGCAACTGCAACCAAAATCGCAATCAAAACTGCAGCTGCAACCAAAACCGCGACCGAAACTGCAGCCGCAACCGCAACCAAAACTGCAACCAAAACCGCAACCGCAACTGCAGCCGAAGCTGCAGCTGCAACTGAAACTGCAGCTGTCCTGAAATCACCTGACAGTCTGGTGGAAACAAACATTCCTCCAACATCTCTACAAACGACCTTCATTAGACCTTCAACCCTCCGTCCAACAGGACAACCTGCAGAGACGACGGCGAGCAGCAGAGATACCGGACCGGACCGGCCCAGAGAAACAGAGAGACCAGGTAAACAATGAGCAGGTAAACAATGAGCAGGTAAACAATGAGCAGGTAAACAATGAGCAGGTAAACAATGAGCAGGTAAACAATGAGCAGGTAAACAATGAGCAGGTAAACAATGACCAGGTAAACAATGAGCAGGTAAACAATGAGCAGGTAAACAATGAGCAGGTAAACAATGAGCAGGTAAACAATGAGCAGGTTTTAGAGGTCAAACATTTAAAGGTCAAAACTCATTGAATTAGGAACTAAATGTTTAGTTTTCATGCCAAATGTTTATTTTTCAAACTAAATATTTAGCTTTCTGACTAAATATTTAATTGGTGAATTAAATTCTGACATGATGAAAATGAATGGAAAATGAAACCCAGATTTTTCATTCTAACAGATAAAATAAACAAATATTGATTTTCATTTTGACAGTCAGAACCTGAAAATGTTTCCTGATTTATTTCTAAATCGATTTTCTCTGAATCAGAGCAACGACTCGTTTCATCTGCTGGAACAGTGAGGAACTTATTCTGCAGAGATTTCCTGCAGCGCCGCGTCTCCCTGACATTAAAGCACAAATTAAACGTGTTTTTATTTGTGGCATTGAGAGGAAACAGGAAACCCTTTAGTACGCTCGGAGGCGTCGCCGTCCTGCTGTCCTCCAACAGCCGGTGCCGCTCGACCCGATGGGCCCGAACAGAGCAGCATCAGAACAGAGCAGCATCAGAACAGAGCAGCATCAGAACAGAGCAGCATCAGAACAGAGCAGCATCAGAACCGTCCGCCGTCATTTCTGGGCTCATCGACGGCGACTGATTCAATCTGAGGCTGGGGGGGCAGAGGGGGGGAGGAGGGGAAATGAGGGAGGGGGGAGCACCGGGGGGGGGGGGGGATGTGCTGCAGATGGAGAGCTGGAGACGGTCACCATGGCAACAGGAGGTGCAGCCCTTTTATGAAGGAGATTTAATACCGAACAGCATCAACTCTTAAAGAGGAATTATTACTAAATGTCTGCCATTTTATTAGCTTTACATAAATACCAATAGTTTCTTTAATTTTAAGGGTTTTATTCTTTTAAATCTGTTTCTGGTTTTACTTATCAAGATCATTTCAAGAATTCACTCTAAAGTTATCTTGGTTGTTTTTAATGTGTTTAAAAGACAAAACTTTCAAATGTTTTAGTGAATCTGGAGTTTCAGGGCGTTTTGATTTGTCCGCATTTCTCATCAGAACCACTAGATGGCGGTAACATCGCACTGCAGAAGAAGAAAGAAAACCTTCAGCCTCACTCCGATTTCTGCCTGGCAACAGAAACCTGCGCAGTTTGGCTCAGTTCGCAGGAAAATGAGCCTTTAGCTGCGCAAGTTGCTGCGGGAAAGAAACGCGAACCACGATCTGATGATCGATCAGCAGATTGATCAGCAGATTAATCATCAGATCGATCAGCAGATTGATCATCAGATCGATCGGCTCCGATCAGCTGAGAGTGAAAACGGAGAGGGTTGATCTGATCAGGTTTATATTTTGTCAAAGGTTTGCAGGCGGATGATGGAGGAACAAAATGACAGAAACACACAGAACGTTCAGAGGAATCTTTACCTGAATCACATGAACTGATTCACCGGCAAGTGATTCAGTTCTTCAGTTCAGGTGTGTTGGACCTCCAGAACCTGCTGGAGGACCGGAGGACTGATGGATGGAGGAATTTATTTCCACCCAATAATCTCTGACATTTTCTAGGAAGAAAAGGAATTTGAGTTTGAAAAAAAATCTGAAATTTTAAGATGAATCTCAGAATTTTTCAGGAATAAAACAAAGACATTCATGAGTTCGAAAACTTGCAAATTTTCTAGAAATATGTCAAAATTTCTCAAAAAATTAAAAAAAAATTGTTTTCTAACAGAAATCTTCCTCTTTAGCCTTTTTCTGTAAACCATCTTTGTTCTGAATCAGTAAATCTCCGATACGACGATAACGCTTCAGTTTTATTAAATGTCATGTTTTCATATCTTGTCACACGGCTCTAAACTTTTTCTTTTGCGTCTTGCTGGAAACCTGCGGCCCGCTCAGTAAAGTGGAACATCCTTCTGAAGTAGATTTCCTCTAATTGAGCCAAACTGATCAACTCTCTGACATTAATGATAGAGATTCAAAGACACAACAACATCTATAACTTTAATACCACAACAGAAACATTCATCTTTATGGCATTTAAATCCAATTTGCATAATAATTTGGAACCTGGTGTTTGATCTGAACCCTGTGATTTCTGCAGGGTGAGTTTCTGTCATTAGTTTATTTAAATCTATTTTATGTTAATTAGTTGCTCCTCTAACAGATTAACTACGTTTGTAACGAAGAATCTCCTGAACTCAATTTAAACGTCGATGCAGCAGGAAACGTTTTCCTCCCACATTAATTATCTTTAGTGTTTTTCACCGTTTGCTTGTCAGTTTCTGATCTGTAATCACATAGAGAAGCAGCCCTCAGGGACGGTGGATGTGCTGAGTCTCTGACTGGAGTGACCTTTGACCCTGTCTCTTGAGAGGCTGTCCCTGGAGGAGGCCGGCGCCGGGCGGCGACGCGGAGACGCTCGGCGAGCTCAAGCTGCAGCCCTGCGTCCTGGAGCTCTGCCGGTTCTTCTCCCAGTGCCTCTGCGGGCCGCCGAGCCGGACGACGCGCACCAAAAGGTTCCCGCGTCACACCGCCGCCCCCTGTTGGCCGGGCTGTTAGACAATCAGAGAGCTGCTGAAACTCAGACACTGAGGGGAAGCACAGAAACATGCGGGCTGGAGGTCAAAAACTCTTTGGTTTGTGACTGAAATGAGTTTTTACAGATATTATGGAGTCGCTGCAGCTGGTTGAGCTACAGGAATAATAATCCTGTCACTGTGGCGACCCAATCTGAACAGATTCACTGGTTTAGGAGAAACTCTGGCAACCAGCCTGGAGGTCACAGTTTGACCTCAGGTTGACCTCAGTTTGTTTCTGAATGTTTTGTTTCTGAACGTTTAGTTTCTGAACGTTTAGTTTCTGAATGTTTAGTTTCTGAATGTTTTGTTTCTGAACGTTTAGTTTATGAACGTTTAGTTTCTGAACGTTTAGTTTATGAACGTTTGGTTTCTGAACGTTTTGTTTCTGAACGTTTTGTTTGCAGATTCTGCGATGACAGCTTCCTGTGGTACGAGGCCCAGACGTTCCTGGTGTGTCGCAGAGTCAAGAGACTTTCCTTCTCCAGAAGTGAGTGACTGGATGCAGCCGAGGCGATAAACTGAAGACGCTTCGCCGTCCGTCTGCACTGACAGATCAGACAAACATGGAGTTAATGCAGCATTTAAAACGTTTGGCAGCTTAACATGAGAAGAATCTGCAGCTTGAGGAACATTGAGGACCAGCTGTTGCTGCTTCAGCTGATTTTTGATTCTGTGATTAAATAGATTGTTTTTGACTTTCAATTAGATCCAGAATATTTATTTAACTTTTCACACTTTAACCCAGAGCTGAAATGATCCATTAAAATGGCCGATCAGTTTCTGCAGGTTTTAAAGCTTTTGATCTGTTTGTGCAAAATGTTTTTAAGCTGCACCAGGTTTGTTCATATTAAATTATTATTGCTAATTATTTAATATTTCATGACATTAAAACAGAAGATGATAGTTGGTTTGTGGAGTTTTTTGTTAATATTTTAAACGATGTGTGAAATAAATAGTTACATCTCCAGAGATGTAAAGCGAACAGTGAAAACCTCTCAGGGTTTTCTCATTAAGCGCTAATGAGGTGTTACTATAGCAGCCTGGATCTTCATTAAACGTTTCGTTGTTCAGGATCAAAGTTTCTCTTGAACTTTGTCTGACGGTCGCGGCAGAAGGAGCTTTGCTTTCCCAGGCTGGCGCTGACCGGTCCGGTTCCGGTTCCCGACAGGAAGCGCCGGTTCTTCCTCCGGCGTCGGGAACCGACGGTGACCTTCTCGCTTCTCCTCCCTCCAGATCTGAAGCAGAGATGCTTGTCGAAGATGTGCAACAAACTGTGACCCGGCAGGAAGCGGCGGAAACAAAGAGCCGTTGGTCTTCCCAACAACAGCTGGAAGCTGCTGCTGATTCAGGAAACGTTCAGTTTGAAGCTTTTATCTGGATATTAATCCTAATCTGCCACACATTAGATATAAACCTTTATTTAAAGAGCTTGTTTTAAAACACTAGTCTTTATCAGTTTCCCTGTTTACAGTTTGTTTTAATCAGGTTGATGAATGTAAACTTTAATCCACTTTGAAATGTTTGTATTCATGTTTAAATGGCTGTTATGACGTCATGAATGAGAGAAATGATGAATAATCTCAGTCTGTTGCTGATGAACATCCTGCATAATTCAGCTGGAAAACAAACAAAGAAAATAAACATTTTAGAAGAAATGAGGTTTTTGTTAAGAATTTGGAGTGTGAGCCTCTATTCATTACAACAAATGGTGGCTGCAGCAGCAGCAAGATAATAGCTGCAGCAGCAGCAGGATAATGGCTGCAGCAGCAGCAGGATAATGGCTGCAGCAGCAGGATAATGGCTGCAGCAGCAGGGTGGCTGCAGCAGCAGGGTGGCTGCAGCAGCAGGATATTAGTCTTATTAGAATAAAAAACGTCCATTAAATCTCATGACGGGTCCAAACTGCGTCTTCCTTGATTTTTCTTTGGTTTTCATCCAGCAGTTCTGAGGGAATCGCTTCACTATTTCTTTCATCCAAACTAACATTTCTTTTTCATAGATTGAATTAAACAAATGTAAATAAAGCAGCTCTTTGAAATGCTATAGATCTTTTCACGTTGGACACTTTTTTACTTTGGATCTTAAAAACGAGTCAGGTTTTCATGAACAGCCCTCAGATCTGTAACTCCTGGATCTTCTCCTGGATCTGGCTTTGAGGCCTCCCCGACTCAAAGCTTCGCTGCCCCGGCCTGCTGCCCCAACCTGCTGCCCCACCCTGCTGCCCCAGCACCTCCCCTCCTGATGCACTCATTGATCTGAACTCCTGGGAGGATCAGATGAGACCCGTTTGATCCTCCCGGGTCGCAGATCCGGACCCCTGCTGGACAAAGGCGGCTCTGTGGATCCCCTGCCGGACCCCGCCACTTTTATAAAAAACCCAACGTACCTGCGCAGGAACCGGACCGGGATCAGCTTCTGCTCAGGTGTCACCCGATAGCCAATAGGAGCTGGAGGCTCCCTCCTCTTTGGGTCGGAGAGACAAACAGCTAAAGCAGCTGAGGACTGGTTCTGCTGGGAGGCTGACCCACTTCAGCTGGACGTGTCTGACTGGAGGGACAAGAGCCAAGGAACAAACGTCTGCAGCTGGAAGACAAGTCAGGTAAGACCTTACAGTTTGTGTGACTAATGCATGAAATGGATGTTAATATTGTTGTTTTTCTTTTAAACATGTTCTGTGAACATTTAAGCTGATGTTTAACAATAAGTTGAGTTTTAGCTGAAGGAAGTTCCCGCAGATCCTCTGGATGTTTCTGTGTCCTTGGATTCGTTGGAGGTCGACTGAGGAGCAGATCAGGCAGACGAGGTCGAGTCACTTTAAGAAAACAAACCAAACAAAATCTGCAGGAAACCTTCAGGTTAAGACAGAAGATTCTCCAGAAGTCTAGAGTTTATTCTTCCTGGGACCAAATCCTGGCAGGTCGACCCATTTTTAGTGCTTAGAGTCGATCAGTTTTTTCATTTTTCAGAACTTTTCTGGGTTTTCAGTAGAACTGCTTCAGTTTCTCACCAAATTGCTCCTGGAATGCCAGAAAAGTTGCTCTTTGGTAACATTTTTGAACCTTTGCTGCTGGAAACTCTTGGTTTTTCTTCTCCACATGTTGGAAACAGTCAGGAGAAACAACCCCAAGGCATCGGCCAGGCCTCCCCAAGGAATCGGCCAGGCCTCCCCAAGGCATCGGCCAGGCCCCCAAGGCATCGGCCAGGCCTCCCCAAGGAATCGGCCAGGCCTCCCCAAGGCATCGGCCAGGCCTCCCTAAGTCAACGGCCAGGCCTCCCCGAGGCATCGGCCAGGCCTCCCTAAGTCAACGGCCAGGCCTCCCGAGGCATCGGCCAGGCCTCCCTAAGTCAACGGCCAGGCCTCCCCGAGGCATCGGCCAGGCCTCCCCGAGGCATCGGCCAGGCCTCCCCAAGGCATCGGCCAGGCCTCCCCAAGGAATCGGCCAGGCCTCCCCGAGGCATCGGCCAGGCCTCCCTAAGTCAACGGCCAGGCCTCCCCGAGGCATCGGCCAGGCCTCCCTAAGTCAACGGCCAGGCCTCCCTGAGGCATCGGCCAGGCCTCCCTAAGTCAACGGCCAGGCCTCCCCGAGGCATCGGCCAGGCCTCCCCGAGGCATCGGCCAGGCCTCCCGAGGCATCGGCCAGGCCTAAGTCCCGGCCAGGCCAGGCCTCCCCGAGGCATCGGCCAGGCCTCCCTAAGTCAACGGCCAGGCCTCCCTAAGTCAACGGCCAGGCCTCCCCAAGGAATCGGCCAGGCCTCCCAGAGGCATCGGCCAGGCCTCCCCAAGGAATCGGCCAGGCCTCCCTAAGTCAACGGCCAGGCCTCCCTGAGGCCTCCGCCCTCCATCCAGGTATTTCTGTTCCAGTCAGTCAGGGTTTCCCTGGACAGAAGTGGTTTCTTTATTACCCTTTCTTCACCTGCTGCCATTGTTGAGGAAGCTCTGCACTGGTGGCAACATGATTTTATTGGAGTTTGATGTTTGCTACATGAAAATGAGGAAAATTTCTCAAAGTCCAAACATGAATTTCTTTCATTCCTTCTTAAATACATCTTTAGTTTTAGTTTATTTATGCTTGATTTTTGCCATTTTTCCTTAAATCAGATGTATTTTCTCTGGTTTAGGTGTAAAATCTGGATTAAATTACTCACAGTATGCAGGTACAGCTCAGCCCCCTCAGTCATCATTCCTCCACCACCGTGCTTGGCTGTTGGTATCAAACGTTTGTGCCGAAATGTCCAAAATACAAACCTGTCGGATGGTTTCAGCACGCTGCCTCAGGCTGTCATATGAATCATATTTGATATAAAGTGTGGCTGAGGCACACAGGGCTGGAGCTCCTGTGTGCCTCAGCAGCCGCTCCTCCATTAACAGGGAGGCTCAGACTCTTCAGCTGACAATAAAGGTAAAGTGTAGCAGTGTTAGCGTTAGCCCCCCTCAGAGGCAGTCGCATCGCTTCCCGCTCCAGGTGAAACCCAGACGGCTCTGTGAAGCATCAACAAGCCACTTGTTGGTGTCGTGGAGCAGAGCCACAGGTGGGCTGAGCGGTTTGCAGCCATTATCCGCTGATGCAGTAGGCGCTGAAGGTCTAGTCTGGCGCGGCAGCAGTGATCATTACGGTGATGGGGGTAATTTATGGAGCTGGTGTGAGATGCTGGAGTAAATGCAGGTCTCTGTTACAGCCCGGCAGAAAGCAGCTGCGATATTTCCCTCCTCCTCCCTGATGGTTGTGATGATCTGCTGGCTTCCTGTTCTCTCTGCACCAAATAAAAACATTACAGGAAACGTCACCTGAACAAACTGGAGCAGGAATTTAGGTAAATCTGAGTCACTTCCTGAAACAGAAGCCGTCCTGGATTCAGTGCAAAACCATTGGAGTCATTGACACACGGTGGAATTAATGCTTTCGTGTTTTCAGGAGCGTTTTATCATTAGCTTATGCTAAAAGCTGTGTTGGTAGCATGTCGACATGTCGGTCTGGCTCCAGTGGAGCTGATTTTTATGTCCATTTTGTTGCCTTTTATCTCTGGAGGGAGTCGGAGGCGACGCCGTTTGGGGTCACAGATGGTGACTGTGGGGTCACCGTCTCATATCTGAGGAGCCGGTTCGGTGTGATCGCTGCTCTGAAGCTGCCGTTTTTCCCCAATAAAAGCTTTTTTAGTTTTCGTTTTGTTCGTGTTTTATTGTGGTTCTAATGTTCTTCCAATCAGATTTTCCCTGCAGGATCTCATCATGTTTCTGCTGTGGATCTTCATGCTGCCGGCGGCTTCCTGCAGTGAGTTTCACCCAATCACTGAGCTGCAGGCTGGCTGCTGCCTCTCTGCACTCATGCTTTCCTTTATTTCTGTAATTACACTAATCACACAATGATTAATCAATTAACTGCTGATGTGTTAAATGTTGCATGAATTAAGTCTCTTTTTTCCTGCAGCGCTCTCCGGCAGCGCCGCGTTCTGTCCGGACCCGGAGGGCAGCAGCCCAGACGCAGGTCGTCTAATTGGTGAGAATCTTCCTTTATTATTATTGTTTTATTTGTATTTGGAACAATAAACTTCAGGCATGTTAACGGTCACCACACAAGCTGCTTGAATTAATCCTAATGAAGGACTGGAGCTGAAGGTTCAACGAGCCGAACCGGATCACAGCCTGCAGGACTTTCATCTTTACTTTAATTAGCGGATATTTACTGAAAGCAAAAAGAAAAAAACTATTTTAAACTGAGAGAAGCACATTTTAGATGAAAATCAGATCTAAAATGTCAGAACATTAAATTCTTTAACGTTCTGGTTTGATCATAGTTCATGTTTCTGAAAATGATTCAGAAACTTTTTCTCTTTTGGAGAATCTTTAATTTAAAAACAAACTCAGCAAATATTGGTGACGGATAATAACCATCAAATCAAACTAATGTTCCAGAAAATGTTCTGTTTTCTGAAACATGTTTTTCTGCTGATTCATGATTCGTTGTCAGTTTTTCTGTCAGAGGTGATTCTTACTCAGGCTGATGAGGCAGAGCAACGGCCCCACAGCATCACCCCTCCTCCACTGTACTCAGCAGTTGTCATGACTTGTTTCACACTGGGAATGTTTCCGTCTTCCTGTTTCCTCTGGAATGTTTTTCTGTTATTTTAGTATCAACACATCAAATTGTTGCTTCTCTTCTGGAGTTTTGGGTTTTCTGCTCAAGTTGCTGTTTGTTGTTTCTTCTGCTGCAGCTGCTGCGCGGATCACAGGCTGTGCTACCAGAGTGCTGCCCCCTGCAGGCAGCCGCTGCCTCTGCCTCCGTATAACTTGTCCTGCCGCGCAGAAAGCAGCTGCTGCGGTGAGACACCGAACAGAACCGAACAGAACCGAACAGAGCCGAACAGAACCGAACAGAACCGAACAGAACCGAACAGAGCCGAACAGAACCGAACAGAACCGAACAGAACCGAACAGAGCCGAACAGAACCGAACAGAACCTAACAGAACCGAACAGAGCCGAACAGAACCGAACAGAACCGAACAGAACCGAACAGAGTCGAACAGAACCTAACAGAACCGAACAGAGCCGAACAGAGCCGAACAGAACCGAACAGAGCCGAACAGAACCGAACAGAACCGAACAGAGCCGAACAGAGCCGAACAGAACCGAACAGAGCCGAACAGAAC